TGTTTGTTAACATTCATCTGCTGCTAGCTATTCTATCCATTCCAATCAACAAAACTGTCCAAAACGGTTTGAAAACGTTTTTAAGGCGCTACAAACTTCTCAGGTGAGTGTGACTATTGTCGGCAGCCTCTTTTACTTCGGCAACCTTTCCGTTTAAACTGCGTGTAAACCAGCTGTTCTATTATCGGCAACTCGAAATCAGCCGTATTTTGATGTGCTTATGTTTCTTTTGCAGAAACACCTGGCATAACAGGTTTGCTCAATCGTAAAAATGTATTAGGATTGAAGCTGAAAAACTAAGGAATCGTTTAAATACATTCAGCGAAGTGTTTTAGTGAGAAAATACACCGAAATTAACGTTTAAATTGTGGTTGCCGAAAACAGTCGATGGCTGCCGAAGCCATCATTTATCCTATTTCCAAACATAGAACCTCAGTAACGACATCTCTCAGGCTTCTCGCGGAAAACACGCTTGCTAGCCTACTCGCAAACAATATTGCATAAAAGTTCTATAGAATGTATAGAAAGGTCAAAGTGATCCGATGCCAGCGCTGCGGCGAGTAGTTCGCGGAACTGATAATATTCAAATCAACCGTTAAATGCGTAAACGAAGATACACAATGAAGAGTTACGTCTGTTTGTATGTGGCAGGCATGGAAAATCATTAACATTCATTAGCCTCTAACTCTTTTCATAAACAGCATTCCGCAAAATGATATTTAGAACTTTTGTAGGTTTTGTTATTAACTACAACTTGTGTTCAGAACTAAAATCTGTATCTCTTATGCATCACGAATATGAGCGGGCAGAACTCGTTACTGTTTTTCAGTGAATGTAAAATACTAGTGGATTCTGTTTGCTCAGGTTCGTCATGCATAAGAGATACGGATTTGAGTTTTTTACAAAAGTTGTAGCTAATAATAAAACCTACAAAAGCTCAATACACCATTTTGCGAAATTCTGTTGATAAAAAAGTTAGGGGCAAATGAATGTAAATGAATGCACGAAATGAATGCAAATGATTTTCCATGCCTGGTTGTAGGTAAAGTCTGTTCCATTTAAAATTTGGTCATTTCTCCAAGGGGAAATAAAGTACATGGTATACATGATACAAGGTATGGTATCATTTTGTAGGATTTTTATCTAGCTTTAAGGGAAAAATACAACAACAATTATTTGTCAGCTTTTCGGATGAATTTTCGAACTTTTCGCGGAATACCTCTCATCATGTCTTGCACAGTAGTACTGTCAACCTCATCTACCATCCTTTTCCATCGCTTCTCCAAACCAGATGGTGTTTTGATTGTTTTGCCACATTTCTTCAATTTGCGCTTGATAATTGCCCAAAATTTTTCAATGGGACGAAAATCTGGACAATATGGTGGATTGATACTTTTCTCAATAAAATCGACAATATTCTGTTTATACCATTCTATGACATCGCGGCTGTAATGGTAGCTGACTAAATCAGGCCAGAACTTTACGGGACCTTCGTGTTATTGAATGAATGGCAAAATTATGTGTTGGAGACACTCCTCCTTGTAAAGTTGTCCATTCATAGTCGCTCCAGTGATGAAAACCTTTGTTTTCTTTCCGCAACTGCAGATGCCTTTCCAAATAATCAACTTGCAAGCGAATTTATCTGTAAAGACAAATTTGAATCTATCCGGAGCATCCCCCTTACGTAAAAAGTAAAAATTTTGGCCCGGTATTTGTACTAAGTCCATTTTTACATAAGTTTCATCGTCCATCAAAATACATCCGTTATACTTGGTCAGAACTTACTCGTACAGCTTCCTTGCACGGTTTTTGGCAACCAGGTTTTGTTTCAGCGTCCTGTTGGGATGCTTGCTGGCATGGTACGATCGGAAACCTTCTCGCATACAGATTCGCCGAACTGTACCGTGTGCCGCACTGAACCTTTTCGCCAAATCACGATCGGAAATCCCAGGATTCTTTTGGACTGCCCTTATGACCTTCGCTCGTAGTTTTCGGTCATACCACTTCTTCGTTTGTTTTGTTTTGCACGATCCAACGTTAGTGTTTCCTGGTAACGTTTAAGCACGGTATTTACAGTTGATTTTGGAAATTTGTGAGCCTTTGCAATCATTCCTCCTAACCACGCTGGATTTTGCACGTGAGTGTGCATAATTTTTTCACGTCTGTCACGTTCCATCTTCGATAACTGTTGAACAAGTATATGAATCCAGATGAAATTTTCACTACTAAATAAACAATCCTTCCGGATCAAAACGCTGTCAATAGTTTCTTGCTACAGTCGGAGGCGAACCAGCCTAAGGCTGAAAGCCTCCTAAATAAAGCTAAATTAATTAATTAATTCTTGCTACAACAACTAGAGGCGCTACAGTAATTAAAAAAAAGGGGCCAAATACTAACTGGAACAGACTTTACTTGTTTGCAACTTATTCCAGTCACAATTAAGTTCTAGCTACTTATTGTGATCGAAATGTGTTGCTTGGGAAATTACTATAGTAGAACCTATTGAAAATTAATAAAAATTGATTTAAATTTGGATAAAATATGCAGATATTATTAAAAAAAAATTCATTATGATTGTTTGATTAATTAACGTAAGGTCAATATTCACCACTCATGTCGCCTTAACTGCTCACTGTATTGTTATAATATTATTTTTTTAAACAACTCGCAAATTATTTCAACAAAAATCAAAACCAATATTACCAGGAGTAATGATACTATGTATAAAGCTGGCAAAACTGGAAGGGTGAGCGGTGAATAACGACCTGAAGTTTTTCAAGTGTTACTATAAGATCCTTACTACTACAGCCACAGGAAAAACGTATGAAATTATCGAAGAAACTTTGAATTAAGTTGGGTAAGGTTTATTGTAGTATTATTATAGTTCTTCATATAATTTGGGAATATATCAGAATATTGAAAATAAATCTCTTGGAAAACTGATGAAGATGCTTGAAAATTGTCTCCTTAGGTATTCGACAACTTCGAACATGGATATGTTGGTTGAACTGGGGCCCGCTGTGTCCAAATTTAAACGGGGAAAGTAATTTCCAAACCTGTAACATTAAAACACCGTTCGGTCTAAACTAAAAGTATTTTTAATGAAAGTAAACGATACTTAAATTTAAATAATCTGAAAAGCATGATAAACTCACACATAGAATAAACTAATTTACATGTGACGGATTTCATCTTAGACAACATCTTAAATCGATAACATGGTGAATTTAATTGTTCTAATACCAATAGAAAAAAAGTTCGTTTGCTCGAATTGAATATCACACCTTTTTTATTTGAATATTATGTCATATGTGTTGCTTGTATGTGCCAGTTTCGGAGCATCCAGATTGACAGAAGCTTTCACAATTTGCATGTACAGTTAACCATTTTTTAAAGGATAGCTCCTAATGAAATATCTGTGAGCCACAAAAACATGTCCAACGTTTCATACACCATGAAACGTCAGATATAGAATTCAAGAGACCGTTGAAATCAAGCAACGTTTTAACCAGATTTGTGAATAGTTCATCAAGGACTTTCAAATTTGCAAACCCTCAAATGCATCCGTAATAAAACTGCGGTTATGTTTTATTCACTTTTTATTTTCATAATTCATATCAATATGTCATTCTGCTCTTTTTTCTTAATCCGCGATCGTTACAAATGTATGCATTCGTTTGTTTTTTGTTTGTTTTTACTCAATTTAGTAGCTGTGTAATAAATAAATATAGAGCATTAAATTCTCATCCACCTCTCTATCCGTTCAATTTGCATTCTTGCTATAAGTTCGAAATTGCCGATTTCTATTTGCATATTTATATGTATTGCCTTTACTTTTTTTTGTTACCTATTTCCTTTGTCACAATTTGCAATGTGGATTGTGTGCTTGTGGGGCTGTTTTTCCTCTGCTTTAAAATAAACGTCAATTAGGTTATTTCAATATGTTTTACACGCATTACATTTGTAGTACTGTTTTGTTTTATTTTCTTTGACTTTTCATCGTTATGAGTGCGGCGTTCCAAAAAGTTCAATAGCAAGTCAGCTACTTGGTACGATCATTTTTTTATGGCTGTTACTCCTTAGCTCACTGGAGAAAAGAGCTAGCTGTTTTCATTATTCACATAAACATGTACGGCAGAACCACTAGTTTTTTTTAGTACCATAATATTAATATCAGTATTAAATGCTATAATTTACAATTTCTATGTCAATTACTAGTTGCTTTAAAATGTGTTTCTTTTTTAATTCACCAATGATTACGTATTTAAGTGTTTAGTTTTACGTTTTCGAGTTTTGTTTTGATAAGGGAATCAAGAAAAATGCTTGTTCTATTTTTTTTTGCGTCGAGTTGAGATCAAAACATTAAATTTGCTTGATATCTATGGCAAGACTTCTTTTTTTTTCAGTGAGTGTCAAACAAACATTCATTAGACGATGGAATGAACTCTTTTCTCATATAAATAGCGTGTTTTGTTTTCTATTCTACCCTGACTATTATTACGTATTTCATTTCCTTCTTCTGTTTAGTGACGTTGTTAAGCGATATCTACATGGGTTCCTTGGGAAAAGTTTGGTGAAACTGAGTTTTGTTTGTTATACAGAAAACCGTTTCGCTTATGCTGTTGCATGCTGCATGGAGGTAATGGTATAGCTTGTGATTCTTCGAACAAATGTTGCTCGTCGAGTGTCTCGCGAGAAACAGTGGGAAGTGTATTAACAAAAAAATATATGAACGAAATTGATCTGAGGAACTTGCACTGAACAACACAACAAGGGCGAAAGTAATGTGGGTCAATTGATATGTGAAATAAACTGGTTCGTATAATACGAAGGCTGCAGCCAGCGTCATGTCACAGGCTGCGATAAATGAAGATAAATTAAGGAGAGAAAAAAAATGCCATACAGAAACATACAATCGACTGGAAGACAAAAGATCGAATTTCATGTTGGTTCCTCAAATCGTTACTAATAAGCACAATCAATGAAAAACAAAAGACGTGTATTACAAATTAGAAATTTATTTAATATGTATCATCTTTCTAACTAAATCTACGGCCTAAGTTCTGTTAATACAAAATAGTAACAAATTTACACAAGTGAAAATCAACAAAAGAAATTAAAACTCTTTCTGGGATCAGTTCATCACGCACCGTTTGGCTGATGATACAGTTCTGCAATTCAGTTTTCTGAGTTGGAGTCCTTTTCTTCACTATACTAAAATATTAACTCTAACCACTGGACAGATTTGCGATTATTTCTGTTTGTTTGTTTAGTTTCAGTTTTATTCGGTTATATTCAATAATTTTAATTACGTATTTGACACAGTCCCTCCTTGTGCTGTTGGGATTAACTGCACACGTTCGACTGTAGAAATTTTAAAATTTCTCCCAAATCCTTACGAGAACGAAACGCTATAGTTAATGAGTACGACCATTTTAAATAACTAAACTTTACCTAACACAGTTGTTTCTTGTTGTTTTTGCGCCCCCGCCTCATCCGAGCGAGAACGCGATCAATTCAAACCGAGGAGTTTGAGTTTTCAATTGATATATTAATAGTCACTTGAACTTGTCACATTTTTCTTCTCATCTGTTTAATGTATAATTGTCAAATATGATTACAAATCATGTTTAAGTTCTATAGAAAAAAAATAGTTTCTTAGCACTAGTACGTATATTTGTTATTACTTTTACTTTTTTGCAGATTTTCCACTTTATGTTCATTTAAAACTAGATCTTCCACTTTGTAAACGAATGAATTGCACCCTCGCATCAAACCAGCGGTCATCTCAGACATGGCTGTTGTAGTTGTTGTAGCTGCTGCTGCTGCTGCTGGTCACAAATCAACCTCCGGATCCCAAGAAATTGCTCTCACAGTCCTTAGGGGGATACCAGATTATGCTTCTGGTTGATCTCCATGCTGAATGTGTGTAAATCTCGTCTCCGTTTTGTTATTTATTTTGTTTATGAATTACGTATGTCGGTGTGTAATTTGTATGTGTGAGTGTTACTGTGGCTTATTTACGATCTTGGTTAAATTGAACCAACGATGTCTCTAGTACTCAGGTTTGCGCTGTTTGGTTGAAGTTGGCATTCAAATAAAATGGCAAGAGAGAAAAGAATAAAACATAAGAATTAATTGAAAAATAGCGCTGGTTCGCGAGCAAACAAGGTAACAAGGTGTGGGTTCGTAAGGGGTGTTGAACTCAAATAGACGATTGGGTTTGAGATTTTAGTTCTAGATATGAGACGTACGAGAGTTTTGAGTGGTGGGTAGATTGACCTTTATCTCAATCCAGTTCAGTCTAAAAGCGTAGTTTTACAAACAATCTCAACTTATTCCCACCTTTTGTTATGTTGCATCACCTGGAAAATCGAATTAGCGAAAGGGAGTAGAAAAGAAATATCGTTTTGATTTAGAATTTTGATTCAATAGTAAGTTTGGTTGAACGAAATAATCTTTACACTCTGAAGCAAAAACGATTAATTAGGTAAATTGCATTTGGCTATAAGTTAAATGATTTCGAACAACGGTGTGTCGTATGAAATTAATTATTCTCCGTATTTTTTTTAACTTCGAAAAATAGTAGAATCAATTATTGGAAATACAGGAATCAAAATCGTCGAACAGAAAGAGTAAAATTGTATTTCATGCACAGAAGAATATTCGTCAACCACGGTGATCCTAAAGCTTATATTGATGCGATAGAGTAGAACAAAGCAACAATAACGTATTCTCTTGTCTTCTGATAAACACGCAACTGAACTGAATTGTAACCATTAATCGCGATAGAGCTGAACAAATATAGCGAAGTAACAAACGAAATTCTCTAATCGCACTATCAAGACAATCACGATAACGTGAGTCGTAAAATACTGTTTCAAAACTTACAGAAAAAGTGGTAGTAAACAAACTACAAATTAAAAAGAAAATCGAGGACAAGAGAACAAGAAAGTGAGGGAATCCGAAAAATGAAAACTATGCTTTAAGAATGAACTTTACTAACTGCTTTGAGTATATCCTGATTGGTTTTATTATCCAGACCTCCCATCATGCTGAGATTCCCTCCGACGCCGACGCCCATGCTGCCGAGGCCCAGTTTCAAGTCGTTTTGTGCCACTATCGACGGATGGTGCAGGTGACTGCCGAGGCTAGAGCTTCCTCCACCGCCTCCACCACCACTGGACTGTTGGGAGCCAACGAGCGTTTGCTCTTGCTGCTTCTGACTGTGATGTTGCTGGGCGGATTTCAATGAGTCATTCTTCATCTTGTCTTGCTCTTCACGCTCGCGCCGCGCCTGGAATTGCAAATACTCGTTATTATGCACCGAAAGCAGCAATTGCTGTGCCATTTTACCTGTTCATTGATTTCCTTCACCGCTCGGAGCTCTTTTTTCAACTTCATTCGACGATTCTGGAACCAAATTTTGATTTGCCGCTCAGTCAAACAGAGGGCATGTGCTATTTCGATCCTTCGTCGGCGGGTCAGGTAGTGGTTAAAGTGGAACTCCTTCTCGAGTTCGAGCGTTTGGAAGCGGGTGTACGTCTGTCGGCCTCGTCGACGGGGACATCCGTTTGGACCTGAAGAGTGAGAGAAAGTTGCAAAGGAAAGGTGCGTTTTAGTTAGATGATTTTGCTACAGCGCAAAAATAAAAGAAAGGTGTAACCAAGAACGAAGGGTGCTCGAAAGCATGCCGCTATCGTTACATCACTGTTCAACCCAGTCGAAGAAAATAAAAGGATCTACAGGATAGCTGTGGAGAAAGTTTGTTTGAAACAAAGGAAAAGAAAGTTTGTCTTTCAGAATAGAAAGGGGTAATAAAATCAAGAGAGGTGAAGTTCTTTTGTGTACGAAACGAGTTCCGTACAATTTCCAGCTGAGTAACTCTTTTGAAAACGAACAGACGACGATGGCGGCGGCGCGCTTTTTTGAAGCAGTAACACCGAGTAATCCTCGCGGTCCGTAATCCACGAGGAGAAATGTATCTAACGACCAGTTAATTGACTTAAGATGGCCGCTTTCACACCCTGTCTAAGCAACAGTGCAGCCATGCTACGAAGGGATCGTATGTTAGAGGTATTGACGATAAAATATGATACTCGTAAATTTTCGATTCCGCTGCGCGAGAATAAAAGGGAATCAGTCGTGTTAGATCGCTCTATCGCTCCCTCGACTGATATCCAGTGTTCTTCCTCGGTTGTTTTCATGGGGAGAAACATTCTCCGAGGGCGAAGGATGATTATTTATGGGATTCGATATTAAATTCTAGGACCACGTTGATCCTTGCCTTTCCAAGCCGCCGGCTTAGTGCGGTGATGGCAAGGATTCGTAATGAAGCTATTGTCTTCGTGCCGAGCAATGTTTTGGAACAAAGAATCCCAAGAGGGGCACAACCCAGTTGCCTCCCATGGGGTTGAGAGCACTAATTGACGTTAGGAGTGAAGAATGTGCCCCAGCTGATCTAATAAATTCTTACTTTTCCTTCAAGAAAGTCGCCATTTAGACGGACACGAAGGGTTCCACTGGTCTCCAGCACATGAGTATGGGTCGGAAATTCCAAAATTCGTTTGTCGATCGATTGCCACGCCAAAACACCGAGAATTGATATGTTAGTGGTTGGGAAATGAAACGTGCCTGTTTGAGTGATTTCATCGTTAAAATAATTAAACAAATTAGCAATTTGAGCCCGCGCATCAACAATTCCGTGGGTGTTTATTTCTTTCTGCCAGTTATTCTCATTTCTCGCCGTTACATCGTCACAGCGCCAACTCTTCGCCGGCAAACGCGGGCAATGGGGCGCGTATTGCTACAGTGAATGTGTATTTATTATTTGTTGTTATTGCGTTGTATGTGTACTTGTAATTATACTGTTACACTCCTCGCCAGGTTTCCGTCTTGTATGGAATCCGAGAAGTGTGAGCAAAATGCAAATACAAAGTTGTTATAATAAGCTCGGAACGCACATTAAACGCAATAACAATACCAATATTGTGTATGTTTAGTACAATAATGTGCCATGGTTATGGTCAGGCCGGAAAAGGCACCAGCAAATCTCGGTAAAGTGCTTGGCAGAGTATTGAACAAGATATAAAATTTCCAAAAAGCGTAACGAAAGCGAATGGCCGCTTTCGGCAGTGGTTCTACTTAAGTCCTATGGCTTTGATTAATCGTTCCACACCACACCGGGAAAAGATTCACCAGAGGATACGTTGGTTTATTTGTTCAACTACCCATTTTACGATATGTTTAGTGGAAAGCAAACTTCATTCACACTTCCAACAGGTGAGAAAAAAATTCGTCGAGAGCTTCCCCCAGTCTCAGAACGCACATGTGGGGGGAGCGAGACACTTTTGATGGTTTCCATATGGTCCAAGTCCAGCAGTTTGGTAATTTATTGCTTCACGTTTCCCCCCCGAGGGCACCATGCTGAGTGGTTTGTTTAGACCAGGGGTGGGAATGACTGCACGCTCTTTCCATCACGCGCTCCAGATATTTCAGTCGGTCGGCCCCACAACGAGCGGCTGCAAATTGAAGCAATTTCTAATCGAGAGTGCACCCACTTATGAAAATGGCTTGATATAAAAATTGATTACAGTCCACCAAGTGACACATCGAGCGAAAATGCATTTCTTAGCGCAGGCATATGCTTGCGTGCCAATGCAATTTCTACGCTGCTTGAGGCAAATAAATTGAATGCCTAAACGAAACACTCCGCGTGCTGGTACGGCTTTGCTTGTGCCTAGATCCGCTAAGGGGGGGGTTCCTCATTCATGTATGTGTGTGGCGTCCTGGAGCGTATTCATATGGTAACGATATGGCAAGCGAGCAAGCAGAATAACAGGGGGAATAATCGCTTTTATTAGTAGTTTTACTAGGCAAGTTGATAATAAAAATACATTGTGAACACACAGTTTTATAGTCGTTTTACCACTTTCTATTTATGGAGATAACTTTTTGCGGTCACAGTTTTCTGCCGTAGTACGTTTATACCGTAAGAAGAAGAGGCAGCGGACGGCTAAGCGGGGTAGGCAAAGATCGCACACTGACCGACCATGAATTGGACCATCAACGGTACCGTCGCTGCTGGTGCAGTAAGTGCATAATAAATAAAGCTTGTAACGACAAATTTCAAGCAGCAACACCACTCACACAGACATGGAGCGACGGTAGTGTCACACCGATCGGCTGCTGTCCAGAAGCTCGGCTGGGGATCGGGGCCAAAGTTATCATTTTATTATAGCTCTTCACTCAATCGAAATGATCGTTGGAGATGGCCCTGCAGAGCAGGAGTCGGTAAGATATCGTTTATGGTTGGATTTTAGTATGGGACGAGTAGCAAAGAAGCATTTTTTTTTTTTCGGTGAATTTGGTGGGTAGGTCAGTAACGGAAATGTCGTCTAATGGCGAGAATATGCGAAGTAAAAGTCAACTTTATGGCGGAGGGAAATCTCTCACCCCTCGCGCAGATCGTTGCGTGTTCGATTTGTTGCGTAATTTCAGCGAGACGTCTCGATCGGAAAACGAAATGAGATTTGTACGTAGTAATTCATTGGTGCGTATGTCTACATCACGCTAATACTCCGGATTAGCACTGGCGGAGATTTATGGTTACTGCTAGTTGAATCAACGCGTCAGGATCAAAGATAGATAGTTGACACATTGTTGATTTAATCCCCAATATCCCTCGTAGGCATCTGGTTAAACTTTTACTCAATACAACAGTGGATAATGGAATCTAATTCAGTAGCTTAATAAATTTGTGGATTAAAGAAATACGGCAAGTTCTTAGATTGTTCTTAATTTACGATGCAAACCATGGTGGAGCTTAGAGGAAATTTTAGGGTTTGGATATTTTCATTTTCCCTGGCCTGAAACGCATAATGGTAGGGTAAATAAGCCCCAGTGGTCCTCTAATTGACCCTATCTTAATTTTAATATTATTTCATTATTTACCAAATTTATGTAGATACGAGGTTAGAACATACATTTTAGCCGTATCTACGCAAACTAATCCACGAACGTTTATTTCAAATTTTATTTCGACCCTTGGGCCAAAAACTGGATCACTAGTGTCCCAACTGACTCAATTACCCTCCAGGAAAAATTAAAACAAAATAATACAGATTGATAACTTTAATGAATCTTGAACGATAGCAGGATTAATTAATGAAACTAACGAGATGATCTCAAAAATAAAGTTTTGCTTTGAATATGAACAGCTAAGTGTTTTTAATAAGATTTATTCATAAATTTGATTTGTACGAGGAACAAAATTTTGCTGTTGCACGTAGCAAATGGAATGGTAGTGAACAATTAAATAGCCATTGGGTTCGTCACTTGTAATGAATGACTTCATTTACCAGACCGTAACGTGTCATTATGTTCAATGATGGTAATGTGGTGGTTGTTATGATAGAAATGATGATTGCGGCAACATAAAATCACATCCAATTTGAATATTTGTTGGAGGCATCACTTTACTAGTAACCAACCCGCTATTGCCCTTTTTGCAATAAATTGCTTATAACTAATATAAACTAGTATGAAATTTTGAAGCCATATATTGCAAAAATGGCGATTAGCGGGCAACCAGCGGGCTTGGTGGTTATGTGATCTAATAGAACAATGCAGAGTAACTTAAGCTAGGCATTATTTTTTGGGCGTTGCTGTCCATGCGTGCAAACTCGTATACAAATCAGGCACACGAAAAAAAACTACAAGGGACAGCCCTATGGGTTTGTACGCAAAGGTGACGTAAGACTATGTAGTTTTATATAATAAATCTTATTTGTTCACTTCAGCAGGAGTTTGTGTTTTGTGTAGGAATAGGAATTTGAGCGGGGTTCTCTCTGCTTATACTCTTTAGTATGACGTGCTTGCCATAGATGGCCCACAGCGACTCACGCAGAGCTACTGATTCCGATCAATAGCGGTTGCTTCTTCCTCCTTCTATGGATGCTCATGTGGACTGCAGCTCGCTGCTTGCAGGCGGCCTTTCGTTGTGTACTGGAGAACACCACCACTCACCACACGCGGTGATTGAATAAACACCGTTTGGTGAGACCTAATGGATCTCAACTTTGAAATCTGTGTTAGGGAAATCGCTTTTCATAGCAACATTGCACATTCGTGCAATTTACAATAGTGGAATTTTGAAAAATGATAAAGTCTTAAACTTAACAGATGCGTAGAAATATCTCTGATCGATTGGTGATAAATTTATTTACGTTCAAAATCTTTCATGATTTTTTTACATGTTCCATTTCACAGACGTAGTCCTACGTCAAAATATTACATAGCGGAAGAGGGAAATACTTGATCCCCTCTTTTCAATATCTCAGTAATATGTAAAATACAAACTTGTTGTCAGTGTGCCACAATTCAATGACCAGTTGAAGAAAATTATATTTAAAGAAGCTCAAACCACTATTCTGAAGTTTGAAAAAGCACACCAAATATCCTCACAATGATCGCTAATTTTATCCAATGGTTTGATACATTTTTGACGTTGTTGAATGGAAAAGAACGGCCGACTGAGGTTCGAGAGCGTATATTTAGTAGCGCTTTATAGAATTCAGTT